CAGGGACTGGGAGGTTGGTGTGGGAGAATTGTCTGTAGTCTGCCAATCATATTTTAATAAAACGCTGATTGGCCAGGCAGGTAGTATAGGCGGGAAAGCCAGACAGGAAGTAGGGGTGGAGCAAAGAGCCTGGGAGTATTCTGGAAGCAGAAGCTCCCTCTGCCACTCCTGCGCAGACCACTGAAGAGGCAGCATGTAACTTGCCCAGCTGAGAAAGGTACTGAGCCATGTGGCTAACATAGATAAGGATAATGGGGTAACATAAGTTATAAGAGCTAATAAGTAGCCTGACCTAATGGGCCAATCAGCTTTATAACTTATAGAGACTCTGTGTGATTTTCTTTGGGACTTGCCAGCTGTGGGGTACCGGGTAAGACAGATACCCCAACAAGCTGGCCTTCATGTTACAGGAGGTGATGATATGGGGACTGGGAGGTGATGATGTGGGGACTGGGAGGTGATGATGGGAGCCTGGGAGGTGATGATGTGGGGACTGGGAGGTGATGATGTAGGGACTGGGAGGTGATGATGGGAGCCTGGGAGGTGATGATGTGGGGACTGGGAGGTGATGATGTGGGGGCTGGAAGGTGATGATATGGGGACTGGGAGGTGATGATGAGAGCCTGGGAGGTGATGATGTAGGGACTGTGAGGTGATGATGTGGGGACTGGGAAGTGATGATGCGGGGACTGGGAGGTGATGATATGGGGACTGGGAGGTGATGATGCGGGGACTGGAACTTGACCAAGACTGCTTAGTTAGACACACCTCTTGCTTTCCTATTGAAACCTCAACCTTGGGACCTTGAAGATGGAGTTGGGGAGGGGTGTAGGAACCACTGGAGCTCTTTGGTCCTCTTCCCATGTGGCTGTATTGAATATATCACCTGTTTCTTCTTCCCCTGTTACTTATCTGATGAATTAGCCTGTTAAAGGCAGGTGGCCAAGCCCAGCTTATTAGGAGATGCCAGGGCCAGAATCTAACAACAGAATGTCACATTCCTTATCCAAATCCAAATATCTTCTGAAGGAGGCGAGCACTGGCTTGTCAGAGGTGTATGTCCGAGCTTCAGCTCCCACACAGGGTCACTACTGAACCCATGCTGTCCTACAGGCTCATGCTGCAACCCTACCCAGAGCAGGAGCTTCTCTCGAGGTGACCGCTTGGCTTTGGTCCTCATCCATTTTCCTTTCCCTGGTCAATCTTTCTTTCCTGATTTCATTTTCCCCAACCTCGAGGGGATTGAGAAAGGAGAAAGCCCTCATTTCAGTAGCCACAGGCAACAGTTGGGGTGGGGGGGGTTGGGGGGCAGCAAGGGCAGCTGTGGGCATGAGCCAGGCCTAGGGCTGTCAATCACCACAGGAAGCAGCCTCCCTGAGCTTACAGTGATCCCTGTGAAGATTTAAACACACCTCCTAACCTTATTCCCTGTGTCACCTCAGGATCTTGGGTACTGCACAGCCTGGGAAAAGAGCCCATATATTCCCACCTCTCAAAGCTAGTAAGAAAGGCCCAGTGCAGTGAGTTGGGTTGAATTTGATTTTAACTCCTGTTCCTCCCTCCTTCCCTCCCTCCCTCCCTCCCTCCCTCCCTTCCTCTCTTTTTTCCTTTATTTTTTGAGCCAGTGTCTGGCTATACAGCCCTGCTGTCCTGGAACATGCTTTATATACCAGACTGGCGACTTCAGACTCACACAGATCCACCTGCCTCCTTCTCCCAAGTGTTGGGATTAAAGACATGCATCTCCATACTGTGATTTTTATGAAATTTTAAGTGCTAAGTGTCCTATTACATTCTCACAAGCTCACATGCACACACACACACATACATGCTTGCATGCACACATGCATGCATACGTGCACGCACACACACACAAGCATGCAAGTCTCATGCCTTAGTTCAGCCTAAGAAACTAATGATGGGGCTGGAGAGATGGCACAGAGGCTAAGAGCACTGGTTGTTCTTCCAGAGGACCTGAGTACAATCCTCAGCAACCACATGGTGGCTCACAACCATCTGTAATGACATCTGGCGCCCTCTTCTGGTTTGAAGGCAAACATGTAGATAGAACACTGTATACATAATAAATAAATAATTTTAAAAAAGAAACTAATGAGACCTGCGTCACCATTGACCACTCCCACCCCCATTTCTGAATACTGATTTCAAGTTGCACTACCACACCCCGTTGACGCAGTGCTGGGAACAGAACCCATGAGTACTAGGCAGGCAATCTACCACATCCCCAGCCCTTCACAAGACAATCGTGTGTAGAGTTCTGAGAAGCATTACAAAGCCAGGGCTGGCTTGGCCATCTGAAGACTCAGGAGTCCTGAGCGGCTTCCATTACTTTTCTGAGCTTATCAAAGTGTCTTGTCTGTAAAGTGAGAGTTTTCCACCTGCCAGGTCCTTCCAAGGTTCAGGGGTGCCGGAGGATCCCAGCGGGTGAAGGATAAGCAGGTACTGCCCTGACAAGCCCATAGTTAAGATCACCTCCTCCCGTAGTGCGTCTCCTGTATTTCCCATCCTGGCCAGCAGATGGCACTGCCACACCATGAAGACTTTCCCGCTCCAAGACCACTTACTTGAAGGCTATTAACTAAGATGTGGTGTCTGGCAGCTGTCCCTCCTTCCCAGTAGAACAGTCAGAATCTTGGGTCACCAATGTGTGAGCACCAGCGTCATATTTCAAGGTTCTCTGTACCCCTGGGCTTCCAAGCAACAGGGCCTCAGCGGTGGGCCCTTCTGGGAGGATGGGAAGCCCTGTGGGTCCACAAGGCATGACTGTAGTTCTGTTAGGTAGGCATCAGGGTGTCCACAATGGGACATGCTAGGCTCAGAGAAACCTTTTCCTGGGTATGGGCTGCTCTCCAGAATGTCAAAGCTACAGAGCGGTCAGGGTAGAGGTGAGGGCCAACAAGCTGCAAATCCTGCGGGTGCCAAATCAAGGCACACCAACCTCCCCAACGCTGATTCCTCCCGTCTCGGGGTCAGGAGTCAGCCATCCCATCAGGCTCAGCTCCTCAGCCTTGTTAGTAGGCTTGGTACAGTCATCCCAACTGCGCCTGCTACAAAAACAAACCCCGCAGTTCCCTGTGTGCCTACAGCTCCAAACACCTGAAGCCTCTCAGTTCTGAGGAACTGAGGTCGACACAGCCATTGTGTGGGGAAACTGAGGAGAGAGAGAAGTGAGTCACCCAAGACCTCAGTGATCCACAGTGCCAGAAGTGACAGCCTATAACTGAATTCCAGTGAGCCTCTTGGCTGTGAATTTCTAGGTTTCAGGTCATTGTGGGGACAGGATAGCAGCCCCTGCCTTCCAGAAGTCTAGGAGAGCCACTGTGTGGACACAGACTGGGTCGAGGGGTACAGATCATATGAGTGTTGTGTAGACAGGAGTTCCCCTAATTCCAGGATGTACCCCGGGAGGTGTCAGCCTTTACCTATGACTAAACACAGCCCCCTGACAGGTCCTGATCAGGGGACAATCAAGGAGGAGGGGAAGGAGGGGCTGTCAAGGGAGCCATCCGCACTCATTGACTGTACCAGTTCCAGGGGTTGACAGCAGGTATGGGGGGGGGCACGTGCTGATGTCCCCCTGTGTCTCCCTGACAAGGTGCAAGCTGGCTTTGGTCCCTTTTCTGTTCTTCTGACTGGGATCAGCAGAGGGAGTAATGTTACCATCCCCCAGATTTACCACCAGACAAAACCCATTTTCAGAAAAGACAGGCACGGTTTTATGTAAGAGACTGGACAGAGTCTGCAGGAGTCCAGAGGAGACTGTCAGAATGATGGGAATAACCTTATCCTGGTCAAGGTCAAGAGGATGAGAGAGGAGGTGCAGGGAGCGGAGAGTCTTGAGCAGCTGGGAGGAGGAAGAGCCAGGTATGGGGGATGGTGGGGTGGGCTCAGGTGTGGGGGATGGTGAGGTGTGGGGGATGGTGGGGTGGGGCCCAGGTGTGGGGATGGTGGGGTGGTGGGGCGGGGCTCAGGTGAGGGGGCTATGTGCCTGCTCAGCATCTCTAAGCATTAGCTTCTCTTGGCTTACAGTTTCATGGTGTCCGAACACATCTGGGCTGCGAAGAAGGACTGCATGCGTACAACTGTTCAGTTGGTCGCCCAGCCATTGGGTGGCCTTGGGTGAGTCATTCTGTTCCCAGGGAATCCTAGTTTTTCTATATTGGTGCTAACGGGTTATCTCTCGCCAGGCTGCTATGAGGATTAACTGCACTACAGGCAGCTTTTTAGCCCCCACTCAGCATATAGAACTGGCTCACGGGGGTCAGTTTCATATAAATCACAACACTGCCATTTAATGAGCACTTGTTCCGTCCAGACCCCAGCTGTTTTCCTACCTCGGTCATCTCAAACCTTCACAGGCAACCCCAACGTCGCTGCCCATTTTTAAAAAATATTTTTTATTTATTCTTTGACAATTTCACACATGTATACAATGTATCCAATCACTGCCTCCCATCTTCATGTCCTCTCAGATTTCCAAATTATTACTATTAATTTGTAACCCACTGAGTTTAATTAGTGCTGCCTGTTGGAATACTGGCTGGTCTTGTTGGCTTGGTCTTGTTCAGGGAACCCGGAGCCAACCCCTGGTTCCAGAAGCCAGCACCAGCACCGCCCAGCTCCCCTCCCCATCCTCGGCCTCACGTTCTTTCCTCCCCTTCTTCTGTCATGTCCTCTGAGCCTTGGGGAGGAGGTTGATGTGATGGGCCTATTTAGGAATGAGTCCTCGGTCGCCACTTAGCCTCAGCCCTTTGACCAGTTCTAAGTCTCCAGATTCGTCTCCACCCAGGGCAGAAGCTTCTCTGGCCAAGGCTGAGAGCCGTACTGATCTATGGGAACAAACATAAATATTTGGCTTACCATTTTGTTCCAGTGTTACAGATAAGCAAGTAGAGGTCCTTGCCCCAGTCACAGAGGGCCAAGGTGATGAGCGGTTTATTTACCTCCCAGCTTCCAAAGACCCATTGGGAAACGGGCCTGGGCCATGCAGGTCTCTGGCTCATGGCTCTGGAGGTTTGGAACAGGACACGTGGGCATCAGCGCTCCTCACCTCAATCTGCTAGCTCATCAGTTCTGCTGACCGGACCCTCCCCCACACCCAGGAGTCCTGGTTCTCCTGTTAAAAGCTGGGGTGGGGGAAGGAACCCTTACACAGAGTGCAAATGTGTCCCTGGATTCTCCTGGAACCCAGGCGCGCACAGACAGAAGTTGTGTACCCAGGATTTTAGTATTTCCTCTCCGGCTCCAGCCCCAATTTGAGGGCCTGTAAAAGCTTGAACGGCGTCCAGTGCGGCGTGGTTTGCCTAAGCCAGGCTCCCGGCGCTGAGTCAAAGCCCACACAGGGACCAGGGCGCCTGGGGTGGGGTGGGGGGACCATACAAGGAGGGGCGGATGGCGGGAGGGAAGCTGCTGGGGGGTGGGTGGAAGCACGGAGAAGGCGCCAGCTGCGGGGGCAAGGGGACGCGGGCGGGGAGGGGACTCTGAAGCGCCCACACGCAAATGGCCCAGCCTGCCAGGAGCTGGCTGATCTGCCTCTGAGCAAACCTCAGGGGCTGGGGTGCACTCATGGGGAGAGGTGAAGGCGTAATTGCTTGACCCTTTTCTTCCCCCAGAGCCCGTGAAGCTTTCCCATGTTCATCGGGACAGTGGTAGGAGCTGGAAAGAGAAGCTTCCTTGTGGCTGGGTGGATAGACCTGGTGTCAAGAGAGGTGGGTGCTAAGGGCACTTCTGGTCTCTTACTTTTAAACACCTTCCCCCCACCTCCAGCATGAAAACACCTTGTCCTTGAGCTGTGTGAGTCTACACAGCTCACTAACCCTCTCTGAGTTGAGGCTCTCTCCTATGTAAAGCCCAAAGGGGTGTGTGTGTGTGTGTGTTTCTGTTTGTCTGTGTGTCTGTATCTGTCTCTGTGTATGTGTCTGTCTGTGTCTGTGTAACTGTGTGTGTGTCTGTGTGTGTGTCTGTGACTGTGTGTGTGTCTGTGTGTATCTGTGTGTGTGTCTGTACGTATGTGTGTGTGTCTCTCTGTGTGTCTCTGTGTGTATATGTGTCTCTCTGTGTGTGTCTCTGTGTGTGTGTGTGTCTGTGTGTCTGTACGTATGTGTGTGTATCTGTGTGTGTGTATATGTGTCTCTGTGTGTGTGTCTATGTGTGTGTATATGTGTCTGTGTGTGTGTCTCTCTCTGTGTGTGTATGTGTGTGTGTGTCTGTGTGTGTGTACGTATGTGTGTGTGTCTCTCTGTGTGTGTGTATGTGTGTCTACTCCTATCTGTAGCTCTAGTTCCAGCATATGAATGTGTGAGGCAGGATAGAGACAGAAAAATTAACGTCTTGGGAAAGGAAGAGTCCTTCAGCCTGGGATCCAGTGTGTGGGGCCTGCTGGCTGAGTCCAGAAACTGCAACCCAATCGATACAGCCAGAACTGCCAGCTGAGGTTGGGCTTGTCTTCCTGCATCCGTGGCAAGCAGGAGTGATCGAGACACAAATGGTGAGCACTTAGGGTAGAGGCCTGTGGCTTTCCGGTTAACTGGATCTGTGTTCTTCCCTCACCTCTAATCTAAACGTGCCTCACAAAACCACCTCAAAACTCATTCACAAGAGGCAGTCCCCGAAGCAAGCCACTTTTTCCAATTTCGTTTTTTAAAGTGATGGTGGTGGAGGATGACAGCAGGATGGCTGAGGACCCCAAGCTGGCTGAGAACTCTCTGTGGACCTGAGGATGACCTTGAACTCCTGATCTTCCTGCCTCCGCCTCCCCAAGTGTTGGTTGAGATTACAGGGGGACATGAGCCACCACACCCATCTTAAATCTTACTTAAGTTTTAAACCCTGCTTAATCTTTAAGGCTTGTGGTGAGCGGCCTCCCTTGAATGACATAATTTAGAAACCCGCAAGATTGTACATTAGGCCACTGTCCTGATGCGGTAGTCCAACTTCCTCTAGAAAACCCACTGTGAAAATCTTAGGTATGGACTTGCTTTTCCTAATGGCCATTCAGAGTCTCTCTCTCTCTCTCCTACCCTTCTTCCCTTCCCCCCTCCTCCATCTAGTCGATGCTTAATGTATTACCTCTTAACTCCTTTTTAATAAACTCACCGATTCACTCTGACTTGCCTTGAAATTCTTTTCTGTGGTGCAGTCAAGGATCCCACTTTAGCTTAGCACAGATCCCCGACACACACACACTCGGGAGGGGTGCATTCAGGCTACTAGCGGCAGCAGCGGGTTGGGTCTCCCAGCCACCCTTGACATAACCAGAGCTACAGGCAAGGTGTGTCAGCCCTGATGGAGGAAGAAGGACTAGACACTTCCTGGGTGTGAAGGGGTCAGTGTGGCAGCTCTGGACACATCACTCTCAGGGGACTGGCCCCATATCTTCCAGGGCCACTCATGCTCTGAGCACTGTAGCCTCAGTACCCAGCTCAGATCAGGCGGGGCCGGGGCTCCACAGCAGAGGCTCCGTGCATTCTCCTCTGCTTCTTTAAAGTCCAGAGGCCCTGAAAACCAAGCATGTGTGCATGTGTGCATGTGTGCATGTGTGTATGTGTGATGGCTGGAGCTGAAGCTAAAGCTGACCTCAGCAGAACTCACTGGTGACTTCAAGTGACACATTGCAGTGCACCGGTACCCCACTGCCTGGAAACCCACATCTGTGACACCTTTGCTACCAGGGCTGTCCCCAGGCTGGGATGAAACAGGTGACCTAGCATACAACAATGACATCGTAGGACTTTTCTACCCTTCCTTAGCCAAGCCAAACTTCTAATGTCCTTGTCCCCAAAGGCTCCTCATAGGAAACTGTGACCAGACAAAATCCCTCACCGTGTGCAGGGTGGCTTTCTCGGTGTTCTAGAGCCACCATGTGCAGGGTGGCCCCTCAGCCCGTTTCCAGAGACAACCATCTTGGGAACATCTCGAAGGACTTATGTGGGGCCTTCATACATGAACACCTGTGCATAAAATGGTCCTCAGGGCATACCTCTTTGGGGGAGCAGGGCTAAAGGGATTTTTGTTTTTATAGTCTTATTTTGAAATAATTAGAATTTCATAGAAAAGTGCAAAGTACAGGGGAGTCAAGCACTCTTCCCCAGCTGCTCTCAACGTCTGTCACTGCCATGTGGCCTAGTTTGCCTTCTATTGTGTGAGAAAGACCACGACCAAAAGCAACTTGGGGAGGAAAGGCTTTAGTTGGCCTACAGTTCCCGCTCACAGTCCATCACTGAGGGAAGTTGGGGCAGGAACACAAGGCAGGAACAGGAAGGCCATGAGGAGCACTGCTTACTGATGTGCTCCTCATGGTTTGTTCAGTTTTCTTCTTTCACTACCCAGGACCACCTGCCTAGGGGTGGCACTGCCTACATCCGGCTGGACCCTCCCACATCCATCATTAATCAAGAAAATGCCCCCACAGACTTGCCTATAGGAAATCTGATAGAGGCATTTTCTCAAATGAGATTCCCTTTTCCCAGATGAATTGCCCTGTGTCAAGATGATGATAGATAGATAGATAGATAGATAGATAGATAGATAGATAGATAGATCTATTGGATCAGTTGGATGAGAGAGAGGGAGAGAGAGAGAGAGAGAATATAGAAAGAGCGAAAGCTAAGTGAGAATGATGTGGGCTTTTGAAACCCCAAGGCCACCCCCAGTACACACTTCCTCCTGAACTGGCTGGTCTAATGTCATCTAGAGTCATCAGAGAGGAAGGAACTTCAACTGAGAAAATGTCTCTATAAGATCCAGCTGTAAGGCATGTTCTCAGTGATCAACAGGGGAGGGTCTAACCCACTGGGGGTGGTGCCATCCCTGGGTTGGTGGTCCAGGATTCTATAAGAAAGCAGGGTGAGCAAACCAGGGGAAGCAAGCCAGTAAGCAGCACCTCTTCATGTCCTCCGCATCAGCTCCTGCCTCCAGGTTCCCACCCTGTTTGAGTTCCTGTCCTGACTTCCTTTGGTGATGAACAGAAATGTGGGAGTGTAAGCCAAATAAACCCTTTCTCCCCAACTTGCTTCTTGATCATGCTGTTTCATTGCAGCGATAGAAACCCTAATGGAATCCTCCTAACCCTTCCCAAACAGTTCCACCAACTGGGGATCAAGTATTCAAACATATGAGCCTATGGAGGGTGGTGGTGCACGCCTTTAATCGCAGCACTCAGGAGGCAGAGGCAGGCAGATCTCTGTGAGCTGTAGACCAGCCTGGTCTACAAGAGCCTAAATGAGCCTATGGGGGCCGTTCTTATTCGAATCACAAGTTTTCCTGTTTGTTTTCAACTGCTGTGAGAAAGACTATGACCAAGATAATTAGGGAGGAAAGGGTTTGTTTTGTTTATTTGTTTGTTTTTAAATATTTACTTATATTTTGTGTGTATTGGTGTTTTGCCTGTGAGGGTGTTGGATCCCCTGGAACCTGAGTTATAGGCAGTTGTGAGCTGTCATGTGGGTGCTGGGAATTGAACCCCGGTCCTCTGGAAGAGCAACCAGTGCTCTTAACTGCTGAGCCATCTCTCCAGACCCTGTTTGTTTTTTTATAGTTCATCACTAAGGGAAGTCAGGGCAGGATCTCGAGGCAGCCGCCTGGAGGCAGGATCTGAAGCTGAAGCCATGGAGGATTCCCCATAGCTTGCTCAGCCATCTTTCTTATACCCTCCAGGACCACCTGCTTAGGGGATGGCACTGCTCACAATGGGCTCCCTGCGCCGATAAATCATTAATCAAGAAAATACCCTACAGACTTGTCCATAAGCTAATATGATGGAGGCAGTTTCTCAATTGGGGTTTTGCCTCCCAGATAATTCAAGTGTGATGGTTTGAATGATAATGACCCCCAAAGTCTCATATATTTGAATACTTGGTCCTCAGGTAATGGAACTATTTGGAAAGAATTAAGAGTTATGGCCTTGTTGAAGGAGATGTGTTCCTTTGAGGTCTTAAATGCCCTCACCAAGCCCATCCACCCCCTGTCTGTGGTTCGGGGTACTCAGTAGCTGAGTAGTAGTTCTCAGCTACTGCTCTGGTGTCAAACCTGTTTGCTTCCCACAATGATGATCATGTTCCAATCCTCTGAAAGTGTAAGTAAGTTTCAAATCTTTCATAAGTGTTGCCTTGGTTCACGGGAGACCATTTCCTAAATATAACATTAGTAGCACAGACACTGAGAGGAAACAACTAATAAATGGGACCTTCTGAAACTGAGAAGCTTCTATAAAGCAAAGGACATGATCAACAAGGCAAAATGACAGCCTACAGAATGGGAAAAGATCTTCACCAACCCCATATCCAACAGAGGGCTAATCTCCAAAATATACAAAGAACTCAAGAAATTGGTCATCAAAACAACACATAATCCAATAAAAAATAGGGTACAGACCTAAACAGGGATCTCTCAACAGAGGAATCTAAAATGGCTGAAAGACACTTAAGGAAATGCTCAGCATCCTTAACCATCAGAGAAATGCAAATCAAAACAACTCTGAGATTCCATCCTACACCTGTAAGAATGACCAAGATCAAAAACACTGATGACAATTTATGCTGGAGATGTTGTGGGGTAAAGGGAACACTACTGCATTGCTGGTGGGAGTGCAAGCTGGTACAACCCCTTTGGATTTCAGTATGGCAATTTCTCAGAAAATTAGGAAACAATCTTCCTCTAGACCCAGCAATACCACTTTTTAGTATATACCCAAAAGATGCTCAATCATACCACAAGGACATGTGCTCAACTATGTTCATAGCAGCTTTATTTGTCATAGCCAGAACCTGGAAACAACCTAAATGCCCCTCGACCGAAGAATAGATAAGGAAAACGTGGTACATTTACACAATGGAGTACTACACAGGAGAAAAGAATGACATCTTGAAATTTCCAGGCAAAAGAATGGATCTAGAAAACATCATATTGAGTGAGGTAACCCAGAAAGACAAATATCATATGTACTCACTCATAAGTGACTTTTAGATATAAAGCCAAAAAGAAGCCAACAATTCACAATCCCAGAGAACCTAGACAACAAAGAGGACCCATACTAAGAGAGACATACATGAGTCTAATGTGTACACGGGAAGCAGAAAAAGACACGATCTTCTGAGTAAACTGGGAGCATGGGGATCAAGAAAGAGGGTAGAATGGGAGGGGAGAGAAAGGGAGGGAAGCAGAGAAAAATGTACAGTTCAATAAAAAAAAAGAAAAAGAAAAAGAAGACTTGCCTTGGTCATGGAGTCTCCTCATAGCACTAGAACAGTTACTAAGACACTCTAGCTTGTGCCAAGTTGAAAAAAAAAAATAAAACCTTACCAGGATAAATAGGCATTGCAAGAATGCTCACTTGCAGAATGGTTAAAAAACATCAGCCCCTGATGAAAATCCACTGACACACATCAACTGTACGAATCAGCAAATTGCTGTGGAGGATGTTTTTCAGGATAAAATTTAGTTGTTATGAGAGAAACCCAAAGCTTCCAAAATTGTATTCCCATTACAGTACACAGAGATGATGGCAGTGAACTATAAAGTTCACTAGTATGCTGGCTAGTTTATGTCAGCTTGACACAAGTTAAGGTCGTGTACGAAGAAGGAATCTTAACGGAGAAAATTTCTTTCATAGGTTGGCCTGTAGACAAGCCAGTAGGGTATCTTCTTGATTCGTGATTTATGTGGAGGGCACAGATCACTGGGAGTGGTGCCATCTCTGGGAAGGTGGACCTGCGTTGTATAACAAATAGTCCATTGCTGAGGGAAGTCAGGGCAGGAACTCAAGGCAGGAACCTAGAGGCAGGATCTGAAGCAGAAGCCATGAGGGGTCCCTGCTTATTGACTTGCCCCCTATGGCTTGCTCAGCCTTCTTTCTTACACCATCCAGGACCATCTGCTTAGGGGGTGGCACAGATCACAGTGGGCTTACTTCCTGAGCAAGCAAGCCAGGAAGTCCTCCACAGCCTCAGCTTCAGCTCCTACCTTGAGTTCCTTCCCTAATGTCTACAAACTGTAAGATGAAATGGACCCATTCCTCCCCAAGTTGGTCTTTGGTCATAGTGCTTCATTACAGCAACAGAAATGCTATCTAAGGCACTGGGGTAAAAGAACACAGCTGTGTCTTAGTTCTTG